AAACAAAAAGACAGAGGAATAATATGTGAAGCACTCAGAAGAAAATAACACATTACTTATAGGGGAACAATCATTCAAGCAATGGAGAATTTCTTAACAGAAATCATGGGGACTCAAAAGAAATGGAACAAATACTTTAACTAGAATGTATAAAGATCTCTCACAACTGAGTAAGAGGACAAACAATCCAATAAAGAAAAGAGGGAAAAGATTTGAACACATATGTCCAAAAAAGTTAAACAAATGTCCAAACACCACACGAAAATATGCTCAACATGGAAAGATGCTGCTGATACAAATTAAAATCACAATGAAATTTACTACCGTATACCCTTTGGAATGAAGATAGACAATACCAAGTGCTAGCAATTATGTGGAAGAATTGTAACTCTCATACTGGTGGTGTGGGAATACATTGCTGGTGTGGGAATGAAAAATGGTACAACAACTTTGGAAAACACATTGGCAGTTTCTTAAAAAGTTAAACACACATTTATCTCCTAGCATTGATAAAATATAGTAAATTAAATCTACATTCTAAGATAAGTGCCAGCAAACTATAGTTCACAAGCCAAGCCAAATGTTGCCCATAGACTGTTTTAGTGACCTATGACCTATGACCTATGAACTAAGACTGGTTTTTATATTTTTAAAGGTTTGCAACAAAACAAAGAATGTTTTTCGGAGCCCATTAATGACTTAAAAAGCTTAAAATATTTACTTTCTGGTCCTTTACAAAAAAACTTTTTCAACCTTTTTGAAAGTCAGTGGCTTTCAAACTTTTTGGGCCATAACCCACAGAAAGAAATACATTATATACCCAAACCAGCGCCCTGTCTTATTTATCTATCTATCACTGATATAAAAGTTTCAAAAACTAGTAACCCTTACTCATGCTTACATTGCACCCTTCCTTTCTCTTCCCTTCCCTTCTCTTTTCTATCCTATGCCATTCTTAAAAAAAAAAATGCTGGTCAAAACCCACAAAATTATTTTAATAAATAATTACTAAAGAAGCTTAACCTCCATTTGAAAAACACTAATAACATTAAAATCAATTAAAGTTCCATTTAAAACCAACTTAAATACATTTAGAAGATGTATTCTTTCACCTAGAATTATCTGCTTGTGAGCCAGTCAATAATACAATGCTGATTTTCTCTTTATAATCTTTGTCTCCAGTCCAACCTTTCTGTCTTCT